TTATATATATATATATATATATATATATATATGTATGTATAACAAGCAGTTATAAATCGCTAGGGTAAATTAGATCGAAAAACATTAAATTTAAAAAAGAAAGTAATTATTATGCTAAATTTTGAATATAATTTTTTTGGGATATAGCTTTTCTGGATATTACTGAGAAATCTCTTCTTAAACACTATATTTGCATCCTTAATAAAATACTGATCTCCAGCATTCTTATAAATAAAAGTAAATTAAAGCTGACAATTTTGGAAGAGGATCGAAAGAAATAATGACGAATTTTAGTCCTTTTCTCCATACTTGGAAAGCAACTCTGTAAATTCATTACCTTGGCTTGATTGTCAGCAAGAATTCATTAATGATTCGAAAGGGTAAAACTAAGAAGATATATGGAACTTGCAAATTACTAAGCATTCAAACTTACTGTTCATAAACTCATAATGTGATTAAGCTAATCGAATACGTCGATAGTAGGAATTAGTATAAAATTACATTGCAATTTCTATTTAAAGCTGATGTATTGAACAACTTCATGAGGTCTACAAATCAATGCGAAAGTGGTTAGATAGAAACTTCTGAGCGCTTCCCATTCTTAAAATTGAACAGATTGAAACATATGGCCTTGTAGTAGATGCCATACAATAAACCTTAACTTATCCGCTCATTCCCGGCAAAAATTCTCTTGATTTAAATTGCTTCCGAAACCAATTAAGTTATCTCAATAATATCGAGAAGGCAGAACGTAGAATTTATAGAATTTATTGTAAATTATGATCACAGCAAACGTGAATACATCAAAAGCATCTATGAAGGAGTATTAATTGCTAATTAGGTGAGAAGGCCTCTGTGTGCACAATTGCATCTTCCAGAATGTTTGAGCACGAATAAGGTTCCTATATTCAGCCATGTTACCGCTGTGCTCTCCACAGTCTTGTTAAGAACCATAGAATTTGATATTCTATTGTAGGCGAAAACGAACTCCGAATTAGATGAGTTCTGCTAATCTTAGACGCAGAATTAATCCTCATGTTTAACTTTAATAAAATAAGTTGTAAATAAGTCCCACTTATTTACCAAAAAATCGATGTTCGGTGAAATTTATTTTTCAGGTAGTTAATTACCATTTATTTTAGGGTAAACAAATTAAATTCTATGACCATTCACTCATTCATGTAGTCCTTTCGTTTGTTTTCTCAAATCAAAATGTAAATGTGAGTTGAATGAATAAATTCAAATTCCCTGAAATATGAAGATAGCAGATTTCGCTCTTGTTCCTTTCTTGTGAAATGATAACTAATTTAGTTTAATGATATTTCAAGTAAGATTTGATGCTGTTTCCAACATTCAAATGGTCATCTTCTGATAGAAATTTCCATGATGTAGTTTACTCATCCTATTTGTATCTCCAAGTTAATGTACAATATTGAATAAAAGCGTTATTCTCAAGCTTGCTATTCCAGGATACAGTACTAACCATATGCAAATTATTAGAATACACAGGGGTTGCTATATATCATGAATAAAACTTTCGTGCCATGTTTGGAACACAAGAACTAGATTATGAAAATGCGCCAGTGTATTGACCACTTGATAAAACGGTTGAGCTTCTAGAATCGCATTTCGCTAAGTAAATATTTTGACTTACCCCTAGGAATTCAACTCTGTACCCTCTAATATGGGCATTTTATATTTCGCACATAATCATACGTGTGCCTACACCGTACAATTGTGGACTCCTATGTTCCGACAGGTCAACCCATCCCTATATCCTAATCTTTTACTCTTAGTTAGTGAATTTTATTGCATTCCTAATGCCTTATTTTAATTCAAACACTTATTTAAAACAAAATAATAATGCAGATGATGCTGATATGGGAATCTCTGATTACGAAAAAAGTTTTGAAAGTGGCTAACTCGGCATGACCAGTTGATATAATATTCGTTTTCCTTCGATGCCAGCATTTCTTCCTTCATTAATACTTGCGTGTTTACCATAAATTATTTCATTACTGAGCTTGTTATGTTGATCTGCTCTATGAGATTGCCATGGAGACTTCTGCTTTATGACAAATGTCTAACATAAACTAATGAATCCTCTTGAGTCCGCACTTTTTCGGAAAGAACGGTATCATACTTCATACTATAACCCCCCCCCCGGTATGCAATACGTAAGCTCTGCCAGTGAGAAGCACCAAACACAGAACTACTCAGTTTCAAAGACAAGAAGGTAGAAGGTGACTACATGTTACTGTGCACAGTAAGAAAGCTTGAGTTAAACAGAAGAGAAGATACCCTCAGCACGGAGCCATCCTCCTCTTCACCATCAAATATGGACAAGCATGATACTTCTGAAGAGAGAATCCATTCACAACTTTTAATTCTGGTTCATCCGTTGTATTCATATTTGACCTTTACATGTGCCCTTAAAACTTCAAATGCTTTTGCATTTTTCAATTCGTCAGTCTAAACAACCACATTCCTGTCAGCAGATTAAGTTTAGATATGAATCAACAACCATTTTTACATTTTCTCGCTGGCTTGCGAGATAGTTACTTATGGAAATAATGGACGCACTTATACAAATCTTCTTGGCACCAAAAAGCAAATTATCATTTCTCACAAATTTGTTTGAAAAGTGCTGGTACAAATATTGCAGTTATATTGAAAGTATATTGATATTAATAATATTGAAATTCAATTTTGGTCAGTTATGCAAAAGCCCACATTTACCAATATTACTATTTCAAATCTTCTGTTTATTTGATTCTAGAAAAATTTGTAAGAAGTGATTATAATTAGTTAATTAGTATTAATTTGGTTAAATAACCTTGAAATCCACCTTTAGCTAATAGCGCAATTATCAAATGTAGTTTTCCAAGGTATAAATTCTGATTATGCCTAAGGTCAATATTTTCAGCAATGAGATTGACGGAGAAAGATGTAATTCCAAGTTTTTTTTATTTTGTTTATAGCTTATTCTTGCTGAAAAATGTTTAAGAATTATAATATGTAGTCTAGTAATTTTAACCTATTTCAGCTATAATAAAATCATGCTAAGTAAACTTCTATGATTCACCTGTACTATTACATGAAATTGTTTTACGTTTATAGTTTCATATCACAATAAGTCTCTTACATAAATTTTAAATGCACATCTTTTGTTTTTTACTTTTATTAAGTTTTGCAAGTATTGATTTAGCATCTATTTGATTTAATTGTGGCCAGTTAATTGTGTGCTCTTATTTGTTTACTTTTCAGTGTCCGATGATCAATTAAAAGCTATCGAAACTGTCTTCAATAGGATTCAGTGCAATGAAAATTATATAACATTTAACGTATTAATGAATATTCTGGGTCGATATCCTCCTGAATGCGTGATAGAGGTGCATTTATCAAGGCTTTTATCTTATTTTACCTTAGCGCTTCCTTATACGACATGGAAAAAGTGTAAATGTATTAAATCTGATCGAATTACAGCAGTTTATTCGATTTCTCTTAAATGGAACTACTCATGATCGGCTTGGAGGTAAATTATCGGTCTCTATCTTTCAATATCTTGTAACTAGCCCTCTATAATTACTATGCTACAAGTCAAGGCATTCTTACTAAGGAGACTTTAGAATTGATTATTAAGGAAGAAGGCGGTAACTTTGAAAGTGTGGAAGCATTAACTGTACGCGACTATTTTCGATTGTTTTGAGTAATTTTATCACTTTAGACGAATCTAACTCAGTATGAATTCAATAAATTCTTCAGGAAAAATCCCGATGCAACTCTTATGTCTTCATGGATTTTGCATCGAACATTTAAGTTAGCGAATGAAGCTTTGAAAAAGCCTTCAAAGAGTCACATATTTTCCATTTCTACCGGCAGTGGGTTCCCTTTGATAAAATTAATTCAAAAGTTTCTGAGAATTTCTTTTGTGAATTAGAATCGTCATTTAAAAGTTTCGTTGATCAAGGAGAAGTTTTGATAACTAAGACCTCATTTTTCCATCGTCTCAGCAATATTTTTCGACAATGTTTCATAAAAGGTAATTGGATAATATACTTTTGATCTATTACTTTTGAACTTTAAAGGACTCTTCAGATTTTTGGATTATAATGACGATGGTGTCATTGATATTCGAGAATTTTCCCAACGTCTCTATGCACTCTACAAAGCTTCAGATAATGATTTCGCAAATGGTATAGTTTTCATATTTCATACTTGGAAACATCTTTAACGATTTTGATCAAGCCCATCGATGTTGACTTTATTATTTAATGCGCAAATTTTCAGTCGTTTATCAAATGTTCTTGAAGGACAGTGGATCGGGAAATAGAAGATTCAACATTGATGAATTTGAGATCTGCCTTACTCAATTCGTTCCAAAGGGGGTATGTACCTTAATTTTTTAACCATCGATACAGTATTCAACCTTTGGTACGGTATCGATTATCTCTTTCTTTAGCTTATTCAACAAACCGGCTCCAAAATGGAAGAACTTGTGAGTGTTGAAATCACATAATCTATTCTTTTGAAATCACGCAATAGCGTATTAATTAAGTAGGGGTTGTCGTGGCATTTCGTGTCACATGACTGCGCCCCCTTCCTTAAATCCTCATTTCTTCCCACTTTCTTTCCTTAACAGAAAGCCTGCACTACTAGTTCACGATTTTCATCGTGGTCTTTGGAAAACCCATCCTTTCGATACTTCGTCAAGTTTATTAAGACTGTAGGTTTGATAATGACAACTTACTTTAAAGTACTTTTTTAATCACCAATGAAAAATCGTCAAACACGTCGTTTTACGAATTTTTTCCTAGATCCTTCATGTGGTTTTCGGTTTGCCTCCATCTCATGAAGAAGGAAGTTTAATTGAAATTCTAATGTAAGTGGATTTCCAGTTCTCTTGGAATGTTGTGAAATTTTAATGACGTTTTCGGATTTTTTGAGGTTATGGCTTCAATTCCTGTTGAATCAAGGACCAAAATTGGGAAGTCAGTGGTTCCTCTTCTCGTTCAAACATTGGCCTCCGATGATAATCCAAGAGAACTTTCCTGCAAGTTCCATAAGTCATATTGCATGACCAAACCTGTCTTGATGATATTTATTTATATCAAATGACAGGCGTTCTGATAGTTATCATTAGCCCTTTAACTGACTTCAGGCTTCACAGAGGGGAAGGAACATCAAAGTGAAATAAAGTCGAGAGAGGGTGGAAGGGGGGGAACAGAAGAGTGTTTCAAAGATGTAAAAGAGACAGACGCAAAGTTAGAAAAAAGATGAGATGAGTACTATGGAAGTAATCGAATATGACATACAGTGGGGTGATGGTAGGTTGAAGTAAGAAGTCAACTGCCGATTAATGGACTTTTTGCCGCATGAGTATACGTTGCCCAGGGTGCACCACGTGGAGGTAAGTCTATCGCACACCCCTGTCTTGATGATAAATTGGAGCTCAAACACGTCGATTTTGTCCATTATTAGCCATTTCTTTAACTTTTACTGGTTTTAATAAATTCCTACATGACTCAAAGTTGTCAAGTACGGATTTCTAAATCCAATACACTGAAAAATATGACAATATCATTTAGATTNTGCTTCAAAGACCAAGGTAGAACAAAGGTGAGGTGAGTACTGT